AAAAATCTGTAAAAATAAAAAGTCCCATTTTAGAAAAAATAAAATGTCCTAAAACATGCTGCCAGGTGAATATTTTGTGCTAAAAACTAGCGCCACTAGGGTACACAAGCCAGTATTACTATAGTGATATTATAGTGCCGGTCCCAAGCCTTGAAAAATGGTGAGGGTTGCGTCAGCAAGGACATACAGCTTAAAAGCTTTAGCCAAATCAATTATCCAAATCACTAAAAAGATTTTCATACCAGATCGGTTAAGGCCTGGGTTAACAACGACCGCCAACAGTGCTGTTGACCAACAGGGTACTGGTGGAAATTGTTATTCCTTGATCAACAGTAATATTCTTTACTTATAATTTCCTGAAAAAATAAGTTTCTCAGAAATGAATAAAATTGCACTAATTTACCTTATAATACATAGAAATGACATTTTTCATGGTTAACATTTAGAAAAAATACTTTTTTGGTATGTCAACTTGATCTATACTTTTGATATACATTCATATACTATAGAGAGGCACCTATGAAATTAAATGTATTATATATATATGTATATATGTATATATGTATATGTATATATGTATATATATATATGTATATATGTATATATGTATATATTCGGCCTCCTCATTTTTGGTATATATATATTGTGTGTGTGTGTGTGAAAATTACATCTTGAGAAAAGTACCAAAGTGCTAATGGGGGTGTTCCCAGAGCACCCCATTTCACTTGCACCAATCTGTCTTCACTATTTTTTGAATAGCCCAACCCACAGTCAGAGAGAATGAAGTTCATACTAGTAAGTCTAGGTTCAGTGCTTTGAATATTTATTGCTGAATATTTATTTACATTTTTTCAGTTGAACTTTCACAGCTTCTGTCTATCAAGACTTCCTTTTGTTGATGGATACATTGATTTCTGTTTTTCTTTTTTCACTAGGTTACTCCTAGGGCCATGTCTTCACGTCATGCAGTGTTTGGTCATATGTGGGAGAGGCCGTGACCAAACAACCAAAGTTGCAGAGCTGGAGGTAGACATTTGTTTGGGCCAGTAAAGTAATCTAAGTAAGATGTGAGCAGTAATGATTACATCTTTCTAGAAAGATTCTAGAAATACATTTCTAAAAACATGCACTGCACTGTGATACCTGCAAAAAACTCTGAATTTACAGAGTACCAGAAAACTCCAAAGGAAAGTTTGTGTCACTTTGTGTTTGTTATGCCAGACCTTGGTGACAAAAAGGTTTCAAACACAAAAATAGTGATCAGGTATTTGTGACTGTTTACAAACAGTACCTTTATTTATATTGTATTCCTCTGAAGTGTTAGTGAATTTAATGTAACATCAAATACAGTGCATCTGTCCAAAAACATTTCACAAAAAAAAACAAACAAAAAAACCCCCCAGAAACATCAACTAAACAAAGTGGCATCAAGACCAGGAGAGCTGGAAAAATCAGTGATTTAGCTCACAGACCAAAGACAACAGAAAAATTGATGATTTCAGTTCACAGACCAAAGCCCACAGTGAACATCAGCTGATGGCCGACTGCTGCTTTCTGTTGTCAGTTTGTGTAATTCAAGTGAATTTGAGTGTCATCATTTTTATGTTTAATTTATAGAAGAACACATTCAAATTACTGGTAGGGCCAGGAATTAGTCACTGAATGTTTTCAAATGAAATCACTCATTCGCTCTAAGGACTTTTGAATGGTAAAGTGAACAGTTAAATCTTACTGATTCTTCCAGCATGTGTCAGGGTCGTTGGTGTTTCTCTAACAAAATACAGCAAAGGCACTTTTAACACCAGCAACCATTTTCCCTTGTTTTTCCTAATATCTTTAATAATACATGGACACATATCATCAGCGTACAGCTTGATCCAACAGTGCACACACTCAATTGTTGCATTTGCATCCCTTTATTACACACCTGTGCATAGCACTCCCATAGTAAACTCCAATAGTAAAATTGCACCTAACAAAAATAAAAATAAAAGGTTAACATTAAGGGAAAACTGCTCACGTGACCTTCAAA